GTACAGGGAGCTGCAAGTGCAGCCCCGGCTACGTCAAGAAGAACGGTCTTTGTACTGGTAAGGGAGTGGGCGGGCAGTCTGCACTTTTCAGCTGAAATTAGGACTTTCTTACCTTGCTCGTGTTGCATCCTAATGTCCTTGCTCTCATTCTACAATCAGCCCACTCCCTCAACCGCCTTGTCTCAATACCCTTGCACTGAGTCTGCCCTTCTTCCGTCCTCCCATTCTAGCTCTCCTCTTGTGTCACGAATTTTGAGGCGCCTCAAAAGCCCTTCTTCTGTCCTTCCATTCTAGCTCTCCTCTTATGTCACGTCTGAGGTGTGCTTTAAGTCACCTCAACACTCTTCCATTTCCTCTCTCCTCCCTCTCCTGTGAACTTTCTTTGTCCATTGTGCAGCTGTGTGCAAGCTTACCTGTCCCTGCGACGCTGAGTGTGCAGTGGTGGCCGGCACACCCATGTGTCACTGCAAGATCTCACTCGAAAAAGCCATTCTGCACATTCCTCTCTCCCATTTCCTGTGCTCTACATTTCTTTCCGTTGTGCAGCTGTGTGCAAGCCCACGTGCCCCCGCAACGCCGAGTGTGCAGTGGTGGTTGGCACGCCCATGTGTCGCTGCAAGACCGGCTACGTGATGAGGAGCAACAGCTGCATCGGCCTGCCCCAGATTGGGCTGCCCCAGGTTTTCTGCCCGCCGTGCGCCCCGAGGCGCGCGGCGGTTCTCTGCCCGCCGTGCGCCCCGAGGCGCGCGGCGGTTCTCTGCCCGCCGTGCGCCCCGAGGCGCGCGGCGGTTTTCTCCCCCCGTCGCCCGCCGAAGCGCCCCCGGGGACCCGCGCGTCGCCCCCGTCGCCCGTGCGCGGCCCGTACTGCACGAGCGCGGCCCGTACAGGCTGCGCCAGGCCCGCGCGCGGCCTGTCCTGCACGCGCGCGGCCCGTACGGGCTGCGCCAGGCCCGCGCGCGGCCCGTACAACCCGCGCGCTGCTCGTACGGGCTGCGCCAGGCCCGCGCGCGGCCCGTACGGCCTGCGCCAGGCCCACGCGTGGCCCTTACGGGCTGCGCCTGGCCCGCGCGCGCCTCGGGCCGCCTGCGCGCGGTTCGTACGGGCTGCGCCTGGCCCGCGGGCGCCCGGTCTCCTCTCCCACTGAGCTGCACGCCGTCCCTCGCGCTTCTGACGGCGCCCCACCCCTGCTGCTGCCCGTACTCCTGAATTAGGGTTTGGGGGTGGAGCGTATGGGGGTGCCGTCTCTGTCAGCCGTCCCCTGCTCCTCCTCCTCCTCCGTCTCCCACTGCTGCAGCTGCTGCTCAGGGGGGTGGGTGTGTGGGAGCCGAGGGTTTAGGGTTTAAGGGGGGTGCCATGGGAGTGGAGCTAGGGTTTCAGCAGGGGGTGTGTGTTGGGGGGTGTGGGACAGTTGGAGGAGGTTGGGTGGAGGCAGCCGTCGTGTCGTCTGCAGCGCCTGTATTCCGGGGTTCTGATAGCCACCGGTAGCTCAGAGAGCCGGTTGCACCTGTCGCCCGTGGGTCCGTTGCTCCTGTCGCTGCTGATCAGACGCAGAGCCTGTTACTCCTGTATTCCGGGGCCCTTGCTCCCGGTAGCCACTAGAGTTGCACCAGAGCCGTCTGTTGCCCGTGTGTCTGCAGCTTCAGTCGTCGCCTCCACTCTTCTCTCCTCTCGCCAGCCCTCCTCCTCCTCACTTGCCCTCTGTAACTGCCTCTAGCTTTGCTCATAATTGTGCACTTTAAACTATTGCTTCTTAAACTTGTGCTCAGAATGTGTGGTGACATTGTGATCCACCCTGAGCTTGTACTGCTTTGCTTTCTCTGCTGATTACACCCCACTTTGGCTATGGGGGTGTGTCAGAATATTATGCTCTAGCCTGCAGTGGGGTACTCTATAGCGAGTACAACCCAATTAGGGTTTCCTATATGTATGCCAACTGCTGCTAGTGCAAACCCTCCTTTCTTCATTCTTACTTTCTACAGCTAGTTCTGACAGACTCGCCGCATGGGGGGCTCGTCCATTCAGCAAGAATGATGAGTTGTGTGTCAATGTGATGAGGAGCAACAGCTGCATCGGACTGCCACAGATTGGGCTGCCTCAAGAGCGCACAATCAGGCAAACTCGCCGCATGGGGGGCTCTTCCATTCAGCAAGAATGACGAGTTGTGTGTCAATGTGATGAGGAGCAACAGCTGCATCGGACTGCCCCAGATTGGGCTGCCTCAGGAGCGCACAATCAGGCAAACTCGCCGCATGGGGGGCTCGTCCATTCAGCAAGAATGGTGAGTTGTGCTGCGTGTCAATGTTCCCAACCGCTTGCAGAAATCTGCAGGTAACCACACGCCACATGTTTTTGTCAGAATGATATGTTTGTCTAGCCTGCAGTGGGGTACTCTATAGCAAGTACAACCCGAATTAGGGTTTACTATATGTACTCAACTGCCTGCTAGTGAAAACCCCTCTTTGCTGTTTCTCGTTTTCGCCTGCTATCTTGACATGCTATCAGAGCAGGTCGACCCTCCTGGGTCGATCCTGTGGGTGGTCCCGCCCGATGCTTCCGCTGCTGTCTTGTGTGTCGCGCGCCCCATGGAGCGCGACGGTTTTTCTTCCCGCCACGCGCTCGGGGCGCGTGGCGGTTTTCTGCTCGCTGCGCGCACGAATCGCGCGGTGGTTTTCTGCCCGCCATGCGTCCCGAGGCGTGCGGCGGTTTCCTACCCCGTCGACCCGTGCGTCGCCCCCCGTCGACCGTCGAAGCGCCCCCCGTCGCCCGTCGAAGCGCCCCTGGGCCCCGCGCGGGCCGCGCGCGGCCCGTACGACCTGCGCCAGGCCCGCGCGCGGCCCGTACGGGCTGCGCCACGCCCACGCGCGGCCCGTACGGGCTGCGCCAGGCCCGCGCGCGGCCCGTACGGGCTGCGCCAGGCCCGCGCGCGGCCCGGGCAGCCCGCGCGCGGTTCGTTCGGCCTGCGCACGCCGTCCCCCGAGCTGCTGACCGCGCCCCACCCCTGCTGCTGCCCGCGCTCCTGTTTTAGGGTTTGGGGGTGGAGAGTATGGGGGTGCCGTGTGTGTGAGCCGTCCCCTGCTCCTCCTCCTCCTCCGTCTCCCACTGCTGCAGCTGCCGCTGAGGGGGGTGGATGTGTTGGAGCCGTCGGAGTTGTACGAGGGGGGTGGCGTGTGAGCAGTGCTAGAGGTGCAGCAGGGGGTGTGTGACACGGGTGTGGGACAGCTGGGGGAAGTTGAGTGGAGGCAGTCGTCTTGTCGTCCGCAGCGCCTGAAGTCCAGAGAGCCACGACCCCCTGTGGCCTGAGTAGTCCGGGGCTCTGCGCCCGGTAGCCACAGTGTGAGCACTCCTGGTAGTCCAGAGTGTCACGACCCCCTGTGGCCTGAGTAGTCCGGGGCTCTGCGCCCGGTAGCCACAGTGTGAGCACTCCTGGGAGCACAGAGAGCCAGCTGCGCCTGTCGCCGTGTAGTCCGGGTTTAGCCTGGTAGCGACAGTTCTGCGCACTCCTGTTGCCCGTGTGTCTGCAGCTTCAGCCGTCGCCTCCCATCTTCTCGCCCCATTGTTTCTCCTCCTCCTCACTTGCCCTCTGTGATAGTCTCTAGCTTTGCTTATAATTGTGAACTACTGCTCTGCCTGCTTGTTGTGTTGATTGTACCCCACTTTGACTATGGGGGTGTGTCAGAATGATATGTTTGTCTAGCCTGCAGTGGGGTACTCTATAGCGAGTACAACCCGAATTAGGGTTTACTATATGTACTCAACTGCCTGCTAGTGAAAACCCCTCTTTGCTGTTTCTCGTTTTCGCCTGCTATCTTGACAGTTTTGCCATCCTGGTTCCTTCTTTCCCCATCTATCTTGAGCCTGCCGACTTTTTGAGTGCTTCAAAAGTTGGACATTTGCAGGTAACCGAAAGCCACATGTTACGCCGTCCTGGTTCCTTGCTCTTTCCCCATCGTCAGGACCATCTGCCCATTGTGGTTTCATCCTGTTTCTCTACTCTTTCTTGTTTGGTGCAGAGGCCGAATGACTCACCAGGTAAGGGCCGGATAAGGTTTCTCTACACTTTGAAGTCCTAGGAGCTCCTCCACTTTGAAGTCCAGCATGCTCATCATCAAGCTTTTCTTGGGTGCTTCTTCTTTCTCAGATAACACGAATGCTGATACATGGCTGCACGCTACTGATTTTCTAAATAAAGGTGGGCTTTGCTTTGTAGGTAGTGTCTCAGGCTCATCATGGATGTATTTTGATGTAGACCATCCAGCGATTTGGGTTTACTGTCTATGGGTTTCTGCTTGCAATGTACCGTATGGCCCCAGATATAGGCGCCGTCCGATTAAAGGCGCCGGCGCTTCTATCTGGAGCATGGCGCTTATGGCCGGAACTCGATTATAAGCGCCCCCCCTGTAAAATCCTGACTTATTATAAGCGCATGCATTATTTTATTTTACAATCCTGATTAAAACGGTAACGAATTTCAAATTTCAAGCGAGTCAACACACATTTTCAAAGTGTTTGACTTTCGAGGGCTTGACTTGTTCCGCGTCCAGTCAGGATGAGCTGGCACGAGGGCAAAGTGACGGGCCAAATCTCTTTGCACAGTCAGAAAATAGCCCTCGCGCGATTCTGATTCAGGACGCTGTAAAAGTTCGATTCGGTTCAATTTACGAGACTGAAATGTACAATTTGGTGCGTATAATTTGTATTTCTGTATTTGCTATTATATAAGCGTCGGCGCTTATGGCCGACACTCAATTACAAGCGCCCCCCCTCAAAAAAATGAGTTTTTTTTTTTTTTTTTTTTTTTTTAAACAAGCGCATATGCGCTTATATCCGGGGTGATACGGTATATCGTATTTCTGTTCATGGGTTTTAAAAGATCGTCTGTAGCAGCAGTAGCCTTTCAAAGCATGTAAAGGAAACTTGTAAATTGTGTGGGATACAAGTACCTTGCTGTAGCCATTTTGCAACCATGCTACAGCCACTACGGCCCATACTACAGCCATATGCTACAGCCAAGCTCCCCATCCTGGGAACATGATGGCGAGGCGGTCGGGGTCCTGTGCATCCTTGATCAGCTGCTGCACCTGGTGGCAGGAGAGTGCAGCAAAGCAGTACAGTGCAGTGCAATGATAGGGAAGGGGGGATGGGTGGTGAGTGGCGTTTCAAGTCTGACTTAAAACATGACGGCAAGGTGGTTGGGGGGTCCTGTGCGTCCTTGATCAGCTGCTGCACCTGGTGGCAGTGGAGCTAAGCAGAGGAAGAGAGCAGTACAGCAAAATAGTGCAACGATGCGGTTGATGGGCCAGGGATGGGGAGCAGGGGCGAGGGGTTAAACAGAGATGCAGGCGGTCGGGATCCTGTGCATCCTTGATCAGCTGCTGCACCTGGTGGCAGAAGAGTGGAGCACAGCAGTGCAGAGGATGCATGCAGTGCAATGATGGGGAAGACAGGTCAGGGACAGGAAGCAGGGGTGAGGGGTGTTTCAAGTCGACTCAGTCAGAACATGAGGGCAGAGCGGTCGGGGTCCTGTGCGTCCTTGATCAGCTGCTGCACCTGTGGGGGTGGAGCCAAGCAGTGCATGCAATGATGGGGAAGGAAGGATGGGTGGTGAGGGGTGTTTCAAGTCGACTCAGTCAGAACATGAGGGCAAGGCGGCCAGGGTCCTGTGCGTCCTTGATCAGCTGCTGCACCTGTGGGGGTGGAGCCAAGCAGTGCATGCAATGATGGGGAAGGAAGGATGGGTGGTGAGTTGTGTTCTAAGTCGACTCAGTCAGAACATGAGGGCAAGGCGGCCAGGGTCCTGTGCGTCCTTGATCAGCTGCTGCACCTGTGGGGGTGAAGCCAAGCAGTGCATGCAATGACGGGGAAGGAAGGATGGGTGGTGAGTGGTGTTCTAAGTCGACTCAGTCAGAACATGAGGGCAAGGCGGCCAGGGTCCTGTGCGTCCTTGATCAGCTGCTGCACCTGTAGTGGTGGAGCCAAGCAATGAAGCGATGCAGCAGCAAAGCAGCGGAGCAATGCAGTGCAACAAGGGGGAAAACGGACCAGGGATGGGGGGCAGGGGTGAGGGACCAAACAGAGGTGCGGGCTGAAGGCAATGAGAAGAGGCGAACAATGCCATACATAGGAACATAGATGCACCCACTTCGACAGTCACATATGCTAGCTGCCCAACCTGCATTGCCATGCTGCCCCAACTGCCGGCCAAACTGCACATCTCGCCGTCCTCAAAGCCATCCAGCTTCTGCTTGACTCGCAGCAGTACCCTCGTTGCCTCCTCGTTGCCTCCTCGTTGCCAGTTGCATTACATATGCTACCTGCACTACCTGCCCATATCATGCAGCCCCTCACCTGCCCGGCAAGGCTACGCATCTCGCCGTCCTCAAAGCCATCCAGCTTCTGCTTGACTCGCAGCAGTACCCTCGTTGCCTCCTCGTTGCCTCCTCGTTGCCAGTTGCATTACATATGCTACCTGCACTACCTGCCCATATCATGCAGCCCCTCACCTGCCCGGCAAGGCTACGCATCTCGCCGTCCTCAAAGCCATCCAGCTTCTGCTTGACTCGCAGCAGTACCCTCGTTGCCTCCTCGTTGCCTCCTCGTTGCCAGTTGCATTACATATGCTACCTGCACTACCTGCCCATATCATGCAGCCCCTCACCTGCCCGGCAAGGCTACGCATCTCGCCGTCCTCAAAGCCATCCAGCTTCTGCTTGACTCGCAGCAGTACCCTCGTTGCCTCCTCGTTGCCTCCTCGTTGCCAGTTGCATTACATATGCTACCTGCACTACCTGCCCATATCATGCAGCCCCTCACCTGCCCGGCAAGGCTACGCATCTCGCCGTCCTCAAAGCCATCCAGCTTCTGCTTGACTTGCAGCAATTCTCTCGTGGCCACCTCGCTGATGGTTACATATGTCAGGGTTACATATGTTACCTGCAATACCTGCTAACTACCATGCCGCTGCACCACCTGTCCCACACTGCTGCCTCACCTGCCCGGCAAGGCTACGCATCTCGCCGTCCTCAAACCCGTCGAGCTTCTGCTTGACTCGCAGCAGTGCCCTTGTTGCCTCCTCGTTGCCCTCCATCGGTGTCCCGCTCTCCTCCTCCGTCCCCTCCTCCTCCATTGCCTCCTCACTCTCCTCCATCTGCGCACCCATGAAGTGACACACAGACACACAGTGGCATGGGTGCAGTGACACACACACACAGTGGCATGAGTGCAGTGACACACACACGCACACAGTGGCATGGGTGCAGTGACACACACACACACAGTGGCATGGGTGCAGTGACACACACACGCACACACACAGTGGCATGGGTGCAATGACACACACACACACACACACACACACACACACACACACACACACACACACACACACACACACACACACACACACACACACACACACACACACACACACAGTGGCACGAATGCAGTACCATAGATTGGGGGATTACCAGTCAGAGATTGATACAGGTGGAATGTTCTATCGGTATCAATGCACGAGCAAGTGGGAACTGGTAAACAAAAGATTTAGGGATGAAAGCACTTGAGCGTGATGGAGAGTGAGGGTGTAAGGTGAGGGCAGGAAGGCACCTTCTGTCGATGTAGCGCCTTAAGCGGAGAGAGGGCCCACTTGTAAAGGGGATCATAGATGAACACCTGCAGGGACACACAGAGCGTCAGGGGCGCACAGAGGGGCAGGGGCGCACAGGGGTGCAGGGGCGCGCAGGGGCACAGGGGCACGCAGGGGCACAGGGGCGTGCAGGGGGACACGGGCGTGCAGGGAGGCAGGGGCGTGCAGGGCGGGCGAGGACACATTCTTATGACTCCTCCAGTCCCATAGCCTGCATAGATCAACATTGTTCAATAGTTACAGACACCACTGACCTCGATGATGGTGAGACCTGCCTCCTTGTTCTCACGCATCACTGCCAGCACCATCTCACAGCAGCGCTGACTTGCTCCTGTGACAGCAGCGCTGACTAACTTGTATGCAGTCTCTCCCAATCAGAATCTCGCATCATTCACAACACGCACCTCAATGATGGTCAACAGTGCCTCCTTGTTCTCTCGCATCACCGCCAGGACCGTCTCGCAGCAGCGCCGAAACACCCCCTCCACACCGCTCACGCCCATGCCGTCAATAATGTCCCGAGTGAGGCGGAATGGCACCTGGCATGAGGGTGTGGAGCACACGGGAGTGCAAGAGTGGTGTAGCATGGATCAACAACTTGTCCACGTGAACCGTGAGTGACCAGAAATCCTGTCCACCCATCTCACAAAGACCAAGGCCATAGGCGAGCCCAAGGGAAAGCATCCCATTTCTTTGAACACGCCCTTCTCAGATCACATCACTGAAGGGAGTACAGTGAAATTGCAATCCAACAGCACTGGTAGAGCGGGGAGCCCATAATTCTGCGCCACGTGATTCCGCCCTCCGTGAAGGACGGGCTCAGCTAAGCGCCGCTCGTCATGTGCCGTGCGTTCTGCGAGGCCGAGGAGGGGTGCAACGAGCAGGAGAAGCTCACAGTGGTGGCCACAGACAGCGAGGACGACTTTGAGGTGGAGCTGTGCACTCACCAATTCTTCGAGTGCTACATGAACGGCAAGTCAAAGAGCTCAAAAGTCCCCGAGATGCTCAAGGTGAAAACTGGCCACCCACTGCTGCATTCCAGGACAGACTGCCTCGGCACGACGCTGAGTCCCTGCGCGCGTGGCCTCTTCACGAGTACACGCATCCTGACAAGGGCCTGTTGAACCTAGCGACTACGCGGCCGAAGAGTGACCCGAAAGCGGACATGGGGCATAAGATTTATATCGCGTGTGGGGTGAGGGAGGAGTTCCTGCCGCAGTAACAGCCCTAGCATTATTATAATTCTTGGCCACAGCAACGAGATGAGAAGGGGGTGTGGGGTGACCAAGAAGTATAAATAAAGCTAGCGATGTTACTGCGGCAGGAGCTTCTAACTCGCCCCACACGCGATATAAGCCTTGAGCCTCATGTCCGCATTCGGGTCACCCTTCGGCACCACCGTTGCCATGTCCAGAAGGCCCTTGGCAGGATGCATGTACTCGTGAAGAGGCAACGCGCGTAGCAACTCAGTGCCGTGCCGAGTCAGCCTGTCCTGGAACGCAACAATGGGTGGCCAGTCCTTCACCTTGAGCATCTCAGGGACTTTTGCGCTATTTGTCTTGCCGTTCATGGAGCACCCAAAGAATTGGTGAATACCCAGCTCCACTTCAGTGCCGTCCTCGCAGTCTATGGCCATCATTGTGAACCCTCCCTACTCGCTGCACCCTTCCCCAGCCTCGCAAAACGCACGGCACATGACGAGCGGCGCATCCAACTGAGCACATCCTTCACGGAGGGCGGAATCACATGGCGCACAATTATGGGCTCCCCGCGCTACCAGTGCCGCTGGAAGTGCACCCTCACTGAATGTCCAGCAGAACAGCAAATATGCAATAAAGGTCAATCATCACACCGCCTTCACCTTCCACTTGCACTTGCCACTTTACTTTTGAAACACACCCTCTTTCCGTACATGCTTCCATACACCTACAGGCACTTACACACACACGCACGCACGCACGCATGCACGCACGCACGCACACATACAAACCCGAATAAATCTCCTTGAATCAACAACACTGATCAAAGCATCCACTAATGATTATCGGGCGACTTGAGCATGAGGCCCTCTCAGAATGGAGGCTGAGTTCGATGCGCATTGTGAACCACCTCTGGTGACTTCACCACCCACGGAGATTCCACCTAGCCTTCTTATCAACCTACATGCACACACTACACTTACACCCACCCACCTACAGAAGCACCTTCTCAGGCGTCTTGAGCATAAGTCCCTGCTTAAATGCAATCTCCAGGTCGATATGCACCACCTCTGCCGATCGCACCCTGCTTCCTTATTGAACTAGATGCATGCACTTTTGTTTCGTGCACACACACACACCTTCTCAGACGTCTTGAGCATGAGTCCCTCCTTAAAGGCAATCCTCAGGTCAATGTGCACCACCCCTGCTGAGTGATTGTATCCTTCAAATCAACCTACAATCACGCGTTTACACACCCCCCACACACGCACCTTCTCGGGCGTCTTGAGCATGAGCCCCTGCTCAAATGCAATCCCCAGGTCGATATGCACCACCTCTGCTGATCGCACCTTGCTTCCATATTAAACTACCTGTATGCACGCACTTGCACACGCACACATACATACACTTTCATGCGCGCACACACCCACACGCGCACCTTCTCAGGCGTCTTGAGCATGAGCCCCTGCTCGAATGCAATCCCCAGGTCGATGTGCACCACCTCTGCTGATATTGCCTAATGAACTACATGCATGCACGTTTCGTGCACACACACAAAGGCCCACCTTCTCAGGCGTCTTGAGCATGAGCCCCTGCTCGAACGCAATGCCCAGGTCGATGTGCACCACCTCTGCTGATCGCTCGTCCAGCAGAATGTTCATTGAGTGCCGGTCGCCCAGTCCCACCACGTACCCCACCTGGCACACACACAGCACACGAAATAGGTGACTTGGGGCACAACATGCAGGTCAGGTGGGGCACAACGGTTACATGCTTTAGGACAAGGGCGAGGTGTGGCACTGTCAATTACCCAGCCGCACCACATACTCAAGAGCATGCGTACCATGGAGGTGGCATGCGTACCATGGAGGTGGCATGGCATGGCATGCGTACCATAAAGGTGGCATGGCATGGCATGCGTACCATGGAGGTGGCATGGCATGGCATGCGTACCATGGAGGTGGCATGGCATGGCATGCGTACCATGGAGGTGGCATGGCATGGCATGCGTACCATGGAGGTGGCATGGCATGGCATGCGTACCATGGAGGTGGCATGGCATGGCATGCGTACCATGGAGGTGGCATGGCATGGCACGCGTACCATGGAGGTGGCATGGCATGGCACGCGTACCATGGAGGTGGCATGGCATGGCATGCGTACCATGGAGGTGGCATGGCATGGCACGCGTACCATGGAGGTGGCATGGCATGGCATGCGTACCATGGAGGTGGCATGGCATGGCATGCGTACCATGGAGGTGGCATGGCATGGCATGCGTACCATGGAGGTGGCATGGCATGGCATGCGTACCATGGAGGTGGCATGGCATGGCATGCGTACCATGGAGGTGGCATGGCATGGCATGCGTACCATGGAGGTGGCATGGCATGGCATGCGTACCATGGAGGTGGCATGGCATGGCATGCGTACCATGGAGGTGGCATGGCATGGCATGCGTACCATGGAGGTGGCATGGCATGGCATGCGTACCATGGAGGTGGCATGGCATGGCATGGCATGCGTACCATGGAGGTGGCATGGCATGGCATGCGTACCATGGAGGTGGCATGGCATGGCATGCGTACCATGGAGGTGGCATGGCATGGCATGCGTACCATGGAGGTGGCATGGCATGGCATGCGTACCATGGAGGTGGCATGGCATGGCATGCGTACCATGGAGGTGGCATGGCATGGCATGCGTACCATGGAGGTGGCATGGCATGGCATGCGTACCATGGAGGTGGCATGGCATGGCATGCGTACCATGGAGGTGGCATGGCATGGCGTGACATGCGTACCATGGAAGTGGCAGCCACGCTGCGAGTGTACGTGAGGCGGCGGTCGAACCAGTCAGCCGGCAACAGGAAGCGCTCCAGGAAGAAGTGGCGCATCACAGGGCTGGAGAGCGGTGGACGGGGGTGCGGAGAGGTGGAAGGGGATGGAGAAGGTTTGAGGGATGTAGAGGGTGAACAGGTGGACAAGGATGACACACCAACTGATGCGACCTACCTTCATATGATACGGACGTAACACAAAGGTGAAGGATAGGGCTCAGTGTAAGGTGAGGAGAAAGGGAGCTCACTGGAAGTTCTGAAGGACCTTGTCAAAGGCTTGCCTCTTGTCACTTTCCTGTGCATGAGTGGATGCATGTAAGCAGTTGGGGGGGCGGAAATGGAGGCGAATGGGGGAATGGAGAGGGATGAGGCAAAGCAAGGGTAGAGAGAACAAAGTTTTCTTCGCAAGCAATTATTGCTGAATGAACATGTAGTGTACATTTCAGGGTTCTCTTCTGAGACATTTTACCTCCACCGAAGTGTTTTTCCCCTGCCCGAATGTTTTCTTTGCCTGCCCGACACAGCGTATTCTGAGCCCTTTTTTAAACTGGCAGTCCGGCATATTGTGTATGTATGGTAGCGCACAATAGGTACACGACTGATGCGCCATGCGTGTATTTTCCAGCATAAATCTCACCCACGCCATCCCAACTCACCCACGCCATCCCAACTCACCCGTGACATCACTTCACGGCACGTCATGAAGGGCCAATCAGATCCACCATAGCGTGCGTGTGCTCCTCCCTTGCGAGTACTGGCCGCGTGGGTGGGGAGGGAGTGGATGGGGGCGAAGCAAGGGGAAGAACGATGAGCGGGCACAGGTGCGAAGCAGAAGGTGCAGGGGGGTTGGTGTGGATGCAGACTGACGCGTGCTGCAAGCAAGGCACAGCATTCCCGTGCAATTCTAGACGCGGAGAGGGACAAAACATGAGAATGCAATGCAGTCATGTCAACTCGACGTGCGAGCCTGCACGCACGCACGCACACAAGACAGACGACCAAGTGCCCCTGCATGCACGTGCTGTAGCCTTGACCACGCACCTTCCTAGAAGATACTCCCCAAGAGGCAGCGTGCCATCCACCCACTCGAGCAGTCCCGCGCTGGGAGTGAATGGCACCACCTGAGAGAGGCCGTGTGGGGAGGGGGGAAGGGAGGGACGGGACCACCTGACTGACAGGCCATGCGGGGAGGGAGTGAAGGCAGCGTGCCATCGACCCACTCGAGAAGTCCTACGCTGGGAGTGAAGGGCACCACCTGACGGGTGCGGAGGTGGGGGGGTGGTGGGGGGGGGGGGGGGCACTTTTCAGATTTGTAACCTGCGCTGGAAGTGAAGGGCACCACCTGACGGGTGCGGAGGTGGGGGGGTGGCGGGGGGGGGGGGGGGCACTTTTCAGATTTGTAACCTGCGCTGGAAGTGAAGGGCACCACCTGACAGGCCGTGCAAAAAGGGGGGGCAGAGGGAGGCAGAGGAAGGTGTTATTTTGAGTCAAATGAAAAGTCACCAGCGCTGGGAGTGAATGGCACCACCTGAGAGAGGCCATGCAGGAGGGTTGGGGGGTGGGGAAGGGAGACGCAGAAGGAGGTGCGATTTCGAGCAGCTTTGCGCTGGGAGTGAATGGCACCACCAGAGGAACGAGAGCATCTTGTTGCTGCCATGGGCACAGGAGTGCATCTGCACAGCCTGACCCATATGGCGCATCTAAAGAACGTGTGGTATGGAATGGATACGTGAGCGGTGACAGAACGTGTGGTATGGAATGGATACGTGAGCGGTGACAGAACGTGTGGTATGGAATCAAGGTTAAAAAAAACGCCGTTTTTTTGAAAATTTACCGTAAAAAACGGCCGTAAAAAACGGTCTACCGTAAAAAACGGCCGTAAAAAACGGTAAAAAACGGTTCCAGAAGGTGGTTTCGTTCGAAGAAAAAATCAGCCATTTATGGGACAAAATTGATGGCGAAAATCACCAGCATGAAGAGGACAAACACCTCCTTGCATGAGTGCGCTTGTGGGCATGATTGAAAATGTATTTGACCTTGTTTTTCCCTTTTTTTCTTGGTGACGACAGTTTTCTAACAAAAAAACGCCGTTTTTTTGGAAAATTACCCTAAAAAACGGACCGTAAAAAACGGACCGTTTTTTTACGAAAACCGTATTTTTCATCCTTGTATGGAATGGATACGTGAGCGGTGACAGAACGTGTGGTATGGAATGGATACGTGAGCGGTGACACCTCTGAGTCACATACCAGCTCGTGAGCGGTGACACCTGTGAGTCACATACCTACGATACGTTGCTGTGCTACAATACGAAGAGCAGAGGCGCAGGCAGGCAGCTACACCGGGGGGGCCACCGTGAGGCAGGCAGGCATAGGGTGTGAATTGATGATGGGCACGCAGGCAGCTACACCGGGGGATTCAGCGCACAACGCAAGTGCCATGCAGGCACGAACAGTCACACACACAGCGACACACCTTGTAGGTGCGGATGGCGAGGTGGCGCCTGGTGGCCCCTTCGTGGGCTTGCAGCAGCGAGTTCACCAACCCAAACAGCTGCTCCATCACCTGGTGCCGTGGAGAAGAGGTGGGGTGAGATGGGGAGAGGTGGGGAGAGGTGGGAGGAGGTGGGAATGTAAGCGAGTTCACCAGCCCAAACAGCTGCTCAATCACCTGGTGGGAGAAGGAGGGGTGAGGGGGGGTGAGGGAAGATTGGGAGAGGGAGGTGGGGAGAGAGGGGGAGTGGGAGAGTGGGAAGATTGGGAAGATTGGGAAGATTGGGGTTAATAAGCAATTTCACTCAGTGCATACAACAGAGTCAAGGGATGAGGAGGGGAGAAGAGGAGAGAATGAGGCAAGTGAAGAAAAGGGACTCACAGCATCCTGCCTGAGGTCATCGTTGCCTGACTTCGCAAGCTGCTTGTACAGCTTGCGGCCGTCCGACCCCATGCACTCCCGTCAAAGCCCAGAGTCACCATGCCATGGGCTCACACGATGGTGCCATACCATGCCACCCAGAGAATGTTGCCATGGGGCCGTCCGACCCCAATGCACTCCCGTCAAAGCCCAGAGTCACCATGCCATGGGCTCACACGATGGTGCCATACCATGCCACCCAGAGAATGTTGCCATGGGGCCGTCCGACCCCATGCACTCCCGTCAAAGCCCAGAGTCACCATGCCATGGGCTCACACGATGGTGCCATACCATGCCACCCAGAGAATGTTGCCATGGGGCCGTCCGACCCCATGCACTCCCGTCAAAGCCCAGAGTCACCATGCCATGGGCTCACACGATGGTGCCATACCATGCCACCCAGAGAATGTTGCCATGGGGCCGTCCGACCCCATGCACTCCCGTCAAAGCCCAGAGTCACCATGCCATGGGCTCACACGATGGTGCCATACCATGCCACCCAGAGAATGTTGCCATGGGTCATACCACTCACATCATCCTGGCGCAGGTCATCGTTGCCCGACTTAGCAAGCTGCTTGTACACGCGGCCGTCCGACCCCATGCACTCCCGTCAGAGCCCACACCCTCCATTCTATAGGCGCACAGGATGCTGCCATGCCACGCCACTCAGAGAATGTTGCCATGCCATGCCATACCATGCCATGCCATGCCGTGCCGTGCCGTGCCGTGCCATGCCATGCCATGCCATGCCATGCCATGCCATGCCATGCCATGCGACTCACAGCATCCTGCCTGAGGTCGTCGTTGCCGGACTTAGCAAGCTGCTTGTACACGCGGCCGTCAGATCCCATGCACTCCACCACCTTGGGTGCATTCACCCCGTGCATCACCCTGGTGAGACAGGGCCGTTGAGGTAAAAGAGGGGTGAAACAGGGAAAGAGTTACGCGGAGGAGAGAGGAAGGCAGCATGCTTGCACGGAAAGGCACGGCCGTCCGCCCCCCTGCACTCCTCCACCTTGGGCGCATTCACCCCGTGCATCACCCTGGTGGGATGGGATGGACAGTTGGGCCGGAACAGGGAAGGGTTACGCGGAGGAGAGAGGCGGGCAGCGTGCTTGCATGGAAAGGCATGGCCGTCCAGCCAGGCACGTTTACGTGGGGAGACGGACCATTGAGCCCTGGAGGTGAGGTTTGAGAAATCTAGAGCGTGAATTCAATTCTCAAGAGGCAAGAGAGAGCAGCGCGCTGCCCACTCACCTCATGGTGTCCTTGAGCCCACAGACGGCAGGGAAGGACCCCGGGCCATAGCAGCAGGTTCGGTCCACGGGCACCGAGGCTGTGAGCACCGGCACCTGAAGGGGGCAGGTGGCAGGCAGGAGGACAAGGAGACATTTTCTAAATGCTTCAGAGCTCCTCCATTGGAACCAGGCTGTGAGAAATGGCATCTGAGGATGGGCGGCAAGGGGAGGGAGAGGAACTTGCACAGGCAACTGGGTAACTAGATAAGCGCGCCCTTCACTCAGCATGACATGGTCAGCCTGGCTGAGCCGGCAGCCCTGCCTGCAGTGAACGACGATCGATCGATCATGACTGTGCTGTGACGCAATCAGAATCTCTGACATGCTACTGTTCATACATGCGTAGCTTTGTTCAAGGGACTCGTCAAAAGTAAGTTTGCTAAGCATCTCCAACACGTGGCTGCCCAGGCAGTGACTCACTCGTAAGAGATCCTTCACGCTGCGGAAGTTTCTCGGAAGCTGCTTCGAGCGCATGAGATCCTGAGGTGGGTGGGACGGAGGAGAATCAGTGCATCAAGAACGAGGAGAAGAAAAGTGGAGAGCAGTGGAGCAAGGCGAAAGATGAAGTAGATAGCAAGTGAGGTGGCAGTGAACAGCAAAGAGAATGTGCGAGGTGAGGGAGGCCCTGGAGGAAGAAATACAAGTGGATAACCACCGTGTACCTCTTCACACACCCTGTTACCGCATTCCACCGAACCACACCCACCTCCTTGCTGGTGTCCATCTCCGCCAGGCGGATGTACAGATCCATCAGCTGCTGCATCTGCAGACACACGGGGGAGGGGGGAGAGGGGGAAGTGTTGGTTGGCAAGCTGGCTGCGGGGGAAGGGAGCGAAGATGGCGCAGCACAGGCCGAAGAAAGCATTCCCTAATTCCGTACAGATCCATCAGCTGCGGCATCTGCAGACACACAGGGAGAGGGGGTTGAGGGGAGGAAGGTTGGGTTCGGTTGGCAGGCAGGCAGGCTGAGTGAAGATGGAGGGTGCACACCACAGGATAAGGATGACAGTCCATTCCATACATATGCATCAGCTGATGCATTTTGCGCCAAAGACAAAAGAGGGTTTTGGTTGGCATTGGCTGTGAGAATCCCATCGTTGGGATTAGGGGATGAACTCAAGAGTTGGTATATTGATAAAGAAGAGCAGTACAAATAGGGAATGGGAAGAGTGACCAAAATCAGAGTTACCCCACACCATTATTGGTTGACCAATGTGGTGAGGGTCCAGCCCAATAATTGAGGTTGAGTCAATTATTGGAGGGGCCAAACATTGGAGGGGTTGGCCACCAATGTTGGCTCCCCAACAATAATGGTCGCCTGGGTTGTGGAAACCCAACCAAAAGTTGGGAGACCACCTCAATGTGTACACCCATGATTTGGGTGTACACTATTAGTTCTAGCCATATACATGCTATATTCTAACACAACCCCTTAGCATGAGAATGGCTAGACCAAACAACCCCTGAAGCGAGGACCCGGTAATAGATGCGGCGAATGACGCGGCATGCCAGCTGAAGGTGCTGTGACGGTGAGGTCGCACACCAGCAGGGAGGGGGGGGCTGCTGCAGGTGAGGAAGCAAGCCAGCCGAAGGTGCTGCGGCGGTGAGGTCGCACACCAGCAGGGAGGGGGGGCTGCTGCAGGTGAGGAAGCAAGCCAGCCGAACGTGCTGTGGCGGTGAGGTCGCACACCAGCAGGGAGGGGGGGGCTGCTGCAGGTGAGGAAGCAAGCCAGCCGAACGTGCTGTGGCGGTGAGGTCGCACACCAGCAGGGAGGGGGGGGCTGCTGCAGGTGAGGAAGCAAGCCAGCCGAACGTGCTGTGGCGGTGAGGTCGCACACCAGCAGGGAGGGGGGGGGGTGCTGCAGGTGAGGAAGCAAGCCAGCCGAAGGTGCTGTGGCGGTGAGGTCGCACACCAGCAGGGAGGGGGGGGCTGCTGCAGGTGAGGAAGCAAGCCAGCCGAAGGTGCTGTGGCGGTGAGGTCGCACACCAGCAGGGAGGGGGGGCTGCTGCAGGTGAGGAAGCAAGCCAGCCGAAGGTGCTGTGGCGGTGAGGTCGCACACCAGCAGGGAGGGGGGGCTGCTGCAGGTGAGGAAGCAAGCCAGCCGAAGGTGCTGTGGCGGTGAGGTCGCACACCAGCAGGGAGGGGGGGCTGCTGCAGGCGAGGAAGCAAGCCAGCCGAAGGTGCTGTGGCGGTGAGGTCGCACACCAGCAGGGAGGGGGGGCTGCTGCAGGCGAGGAAGCAAGCCAGCCGAAGGTGCTGTGGCGGTGAGGTCGCACACCAGCAGGGAGGGGGGGCTGCTGCAGGTGAGGAAGCAAGCCAGCCGAAGGTGCTGTGGCGGTGAGGTTGCACACCAGCAGGGAGGGGGGGGCTGCTGCAGGTGAGGAAGCAAGCCAGCCGAAGGTGCTGTGGCGGTGAGGTCGCACACCAGCAGGGAGGGGGGGCTGCTGCAGGTGAGGAAGCAAGCCAGCCGAAGGTGCTGTGGCGGTGAGGTCGCACACCAGCAGGGAGGGGGGGGCTGCTGCAGGTGAGGAAGCAAGCCAGCCGAAGGTGCTGTGGCGGTGAGGTCGCACACCAGCAGGGAGGGGGGGGCTGCTGCAGGTGAGGAAGCAAGCCAGCCGAAGGTGCTGTGGCGGTGAGGTCGCACACCAGCAGGGAGGGGGGGCTGCTGCAGGTGAGGAAGCAAGCCAGCCGAAGGTGCTGTGGCGGTGAGGTCGCACACCAGCAGGGAGGGGGGGGCTGCTGCAGGTGAGGAAGCAAGCCAGCCGAAGGTGCTGTGGCGGTGAGGTCGCACACCAGCAGGGAGGGGGGGCTGCTGCAGGTGAGGAAGCAAGCCAGCCGAAGGTGCTGTGGCGGTGAGGTCGCACACCAGCAGGGAGGGGGGGGCGGCTGCAGGTGAGGAAGCAAGCCAGCCGAAGGTGCTGTGGCGGTGAGGTCGCACACCAGCAGGGAGGGGGGGCTGCTGCAGGTGAGGAAGCAAGCCAGCCGAAGGTGCTGTGGCGGTGAGGTCGCACACCAGCAGGGAGGGGGGGGCTGCTGCAGGTGAGGAAGCAAGCCAGCCGAAGGTGCTGTGGCGGTGAGGTCGCACACCAGCAGGGAGGGGGGGCTGCTGCAGGTGGCGAAGGGAGACGGCGGCGGCAGCGGGAGGTGGCAGAGCGGGAGGTGCCACTACGAGGTGGGGTAGGAAGCGTTGGCGACCACGAGATGGCAGCGGGAGAGCTGCGGCGGCAAAGGGAGGAGGAAGCGAGGGGGAAGGGGGAGGAGGGCTGGATGGCCCGAAGGAGGAGGAAGCGAGGGGGGAAGGGGGAGGAGGGCTGGATGGCCCGAAGGAGGAGGAAGCGAGGGGGAGGGGGGAGGAGGGCTGGATGGCCAGAAGGAGGAGGAAGCGAGGGGGAAGGGGGAGGAGGGCTGGATGGCCCGAAGGAGGAGGAAGCGAGGGGGAAGGGGGAGGTGGGCTGGATGGCCCGAAGGAGGAGGAAGCGAGGGGGAAGGGGGAGGAGGGCTGGATGGCCCGAAGGAGGAGGAAGCGAGGGGGAAGGGGGAGGAGGGCTGGATGGCCCGAAGGAGGAGGAAGCGAGGGGAGGTGGGTTGGATGGCCCTTAGAAGGGGGACGGAAGCGTGGTGACGATGCGAATGAATGCGCTGACGGGCGAAATGCCCTCGGGAGCGGGATTGACGGGCGGAATACCCTTGGGAGCGGGATTGAGGGTCGAAATGCCCTCGGGAGCGGGATTGACGGGCGGAATGCCCTCGGAAGCGGAATCGACGGGCGAAGTGGTAGGCGCGGTCGTTGCGCGGATCGGCGCGGACGTCCCGCTGCTCGGCGCGTTCGTCGCGCGGGTCGGCGCGTACAAGCGCCTCAAAAGCCACGGGGAAAAGCCTGAGGGAGGGGAGCAGGCTGATGGGGCAAAGACCATGAAGCTGGCAAGAGGCCGAGGATCTCCTAGGGAGGGAGAAGGTGGCGTTAGCCAAAATAGCTCTATACCATGTGAGAATCCCATAGTTGGGATTAGGGGGTGAACTCAAGAGTTGGTATATTGATAAAGAAGAGCAGTACAAATAGGGAATGGGAAGAGTGACCAAAATCAGAGTTACCCCACACCATTATTGGTTGACCAATGTGGTGAGGGTCCAGCCCAATAATTGAGGTTGAGTCTATTAATGGAGGGGCCAAACATTGGAGGGGTTGGCCACCAATGTTGGCTCCCCAACAATAATGGTCGCCTGGGTTGTGGAAACCCAACCAAAAGTTGGGAGACCACCTCAATGTGTACACCCATGATTTGGGTGTACACTATTAGTTCTAGCCATATACATGCTATATTCTAACATTGGCAGGCAGGGGGATTAAGCAAAGACGGCAGGGAGAGAAGTAGAAAGAGGAATGTTAGGCTCAGCCAGCAACTGTGTTACTGTACTGCTGGCAGTTGCCCCTTATCCACTCATGTCTTGCTTGCGCCAAGACAGGAGCGGCAGTGGCCCCTTATCCACTCAACAGCCAGTCTGGCAGCACGCCTTTTATTGTCTTACCTCATCCAGCATGGGCTTGTGCCGCTCAGCCATGCCGCCCAGGACAGCCTTTGCTGCCCGGATCTTGTCCTCATCCACGACAAAGAGGTTGCGCCCACGCTGGCTGCTGCGCACCCTGTTGCCATTCGCCAGTGCCATGAGCTGGGAGAGATTGGGGAGAGATGAGAGGGGGGGGGGAGACCAGGGGAAGGAAGGGGTGACAGAGGAAATATTGGTGGGCGGAGAAACGGGGGGGAATGGGCAGAGTTATAAGAAGGGAAACGGGTGCAGAAAAGGGGAGAAGGGGAGCGAACGGGAGAGAATAAGGGAAGAAGATGAAGGAGACTATGTGCACACCGTACGTGCGTGCACACATCTTGAACCCTTTATTTCAAATGTGGGGAGACTATGTGCACGCACGGTCACCACGATGGTGGATGCGTGCATAAGTGCAGCACTGACTGTGGATGCGTGCATGTCGGAAAAATTGTTGCACTCTACACACTGGCAATGGCAAGTGAGTGAGCGGGTGCATACCACAGGCACAGTGTGCAGGGGATGGTCATCTGCCATTCGCTTGACAAGCGTTGTCAGCACTGACTGTAAAGGAGGGAAAGGGCGGCGGGGGGAGGGAGGGGGTTGGGGGTGTGATACAGCAGAAAGCGGCAAGGAGCATGGAGAGGGGAGAGGAGCAAGGAGCACCTGCGTTGCGCATGAACTGGACGCAGCAGTTGTAGCATGCAGGGCAGCAGGCATGGTGAGTGAGTGCCGACATGCGTTGGGTTGGGTTGCGCATGCCAAACACGGAAAGCGTGCATAGCCTAACAGCAGCACGGCAACAGATTTAATCCCAGCCATCCGTATGTGCGGGTGTCCTAGATGCAGTTTGGGTGGAGACGGTCAGATTGGAACTGAAGCGGGTGCTGCAGCCTTAGAGGGAGCTGAGGTGAACGGACAGCCCACCTGGAAGTCGGTTGCAATAGCATTTGAAAATTCAACTGACTACCGCCCACCTGGAAGTCGGGTGTCTCTGGGTGCAGTGGTGGTGAGCCGAGAGGGTCTCGCTCGCTCATGCGGGATGCCATCTGGTAGACCAGAGGCAGGAACTTGTATGACGGCACCTGGAGGGGAGTGTGGGTGACATGAAATCAGTGGAGTGAGGAAGAGGGCTCTGCTAGAAGCAGGAGAGCACCTGCTTCTGCAGGGCAGGCTCTTCAGCCCCTGTTGTGTGCTGCTGCACCCCCCATTGCTTGCTCCTGTATGTGTCAAGGACAGTGCTCGTTTTTGGTACAATTGGTTGCTCCCGTACATGTGCTCATTGAGAAATAAATGCAAGATTCGCTAAGAAAAATGTTGCAGCTTGAATTCAAAAGCAAAATTCACGTACAGTCTGGATGGTTGTGAGCATCTCTGCATTCACCGCGTCTGCCGTGGCATCGTTGAGCAGAGTGAACCAGAGGGCTGTCAGGCGAAACACCTGTGGGCGTGCGAGGAAAGGCAAGAGGGAGAGCAGAGAGGGACGCGCCAGCAGGAGGAACACGGAGTGAGCATCGCTGATTAAGAGAGGGATGCAAGGCAACCAGTCTGGCATGTTACCACCCTTGCACCATTATGCCATGCTACCACCTTGACTTCAGTGGATATCACTTTGAAATCTTAATGCAACTTTATAAACTCACACCACTTATGATAACTCACTCTCGCAAGTCATCACCTGGACACATTCCACTTTGAGAGCTACCACTGCAGCAGTTACCACTTCATCGGTTACCACTGCAGCAGTTACCACTGCAGCAGTTACCACTGCAGCAGTTACCACTGCAGCAGTTACCACTGCAGCAGTTACCACTTCAGCAGTTACCACTGCAGCAGTTACCAATTCAACAGTTACCACTGCAGCAGTTACCACTGCAGCAGTTACCACTGCAGCAGTTACCACTTCAGCAGTTACCACTGCAGCAGTTACCACTTCAACAGTTACCAATTCAACAGTTACCACTGCAGCAGTTACCACTTTGATGTTGAACGTGTCGGCCGCAAGAAGGCAGTTCCTGTAGTTCTCAAGAGCAGCACGCAGGTACATGTCATGCTCGCTCTGCACTCACCACCGCACATCGCCACACCACAGCACACCGCAGCAAGCACAGCACAGCAGAGGGTGGTTGTAGAGGAAGCCAAAGCTCCTGATGGAGCAGCACTTCCAGCTGCCACAAACCTACGTGGAAGTGACTGAATGTTTGAATAAGCATACTAGCAGGGGCGGGGAGGTGGGTTGGGGGTGGTAGGTGAGTGAGTGATTGGGAGGGAGGGGAGGGGAGGGGGTGGTGGTGGTAGGCGAGTGAATGAGAGGGAGGGGGGACAGGGGGGGGACGCACGCAGCTGAAGGTCGTTGGCGTCCTGGTCGTCCATGCTCAGCTGCTTCTGTAGCTCCACTCTTGAGACGCCTCATAAATGGGAAGTGGGAGTGGATGAGTGACTGGGACGAGGAGGGGGGGGTGGTGAGGGGAGGAGGGCCGCACCTGAAGGTCGTTGGCGTCCTGGTCGTCCATGCTCAGCTGCTTCTGAAGCTCCATGATCTTCATCCCATACACCCGCCTCTCGTCCTCCTGATATGAGGTGGGTGCCATGCGTGCGGTGGGGTGAGGTAAGTGTCGTGTCAAGTCGGGAAGAGGATCTTGCTGGGTTGACTTGATAGTGGATGTGCGTAGACAAAAAGAGCGGGCGGGGTGCTGTTCAGAAGAGAGGTGGTGGCGGGCACAGCGGGCACGGCGGGCACAGCTGAACTCACTCGTCTGGACGCCTTCAGTCGCTTCGTCATCTCCTCCAACTCCTTCCGCTGCCATGCCATGCCATGCCATGCCATGCCATGCCATGCCATGCCAGCAAGGCAGAGAGAGAGGGGGTGGAGGGCAGTCAAGCAGAACATTGGACGGCAGAGGTGAGCAGATGAACAGGGGAGAGCAGCGCGCATGTTCCCAAATCCACACTCTCACCCCACCTTCTGCCTCTCTTTCGTCTCTCCTCACCTTCTGCCTCCCTCTCACCGCACCTTGTGTTTCGTCAGATCCTGGGCAGCACGCCACTGCTGCGAGTGCAGGCGGGCATGCAGCAGGAGGAACAGCCCATCCACATAACGCGCCATCTGAAAATGCACCTCCCCCCGCTGCCGCCGCTGCTGCCACTCGCCTTGCTCCTCCCCCTGCCCCCCCCGCTCCCTTTCACCCCCCTGCAGCCCTCCATACGCCCCCTGCCGCAGCTGCTGCCTCCACTGCCGCTCCTGTTGCTGCTGGTGCCAGTTATTCGCGAACGGGAAGGAGGCGTAGCTCGGGGTTGCTGCAGAGGCAGCAGTAGTTGAGGGCGAGGCGACGGGCGGGTTCTGTGTGAGGTCCACTGCGCGCCACAGGTAGTCACTCAGTACCACGCGCGAGCTGGTTGAAAAGGGGAAGAAAGGGGGCATGGAGGCATCGATTTTTGGATGCAGTGGAGGGCGATGCAAGTGGAGAGGAGAGTGGAGAGCACAGTGTGAGGTCCACTGCGCGCCACAGGTAGTCACTCAGTACCACGCGCGAGCTGGTTGAAAAGGGGAAGAAAGGGGGCATGGAGGCATCGATTTTTGGATGCAGTGGAGGGCGATGCAAGTGGAGAGGAGAGTGGAGAGCACAGTGTGAGGTCCACTGCGCGCCACAGGTAGTCACTCAGTACCACTCGTGAGCTGGTGGGCGTCAGATGGGAGAATGAGATAGCGAAGCGAGAGGGGACAAGGAAAGAGGGTAACCCAGAACCTTAAAGAAGCAACTGCAATGGCTTTGATTGCTAATGGTATAGAGGAATCGAGGAGTTCACATCAAGTGAATCTTGGGCCAATGACAGCATCGAGATAAAAAAGTCATCCACGTGACTTTCACTTGTGGATAAAGGAAGGCTGTGCCGTTTTACATTGCTCCACTTCTGCTTTGAACTTGATGCTCATCTCATCTCAGCTGTGAGTGGCGTCGAAACCCCAAACCCATCTCCCACGCTTCTAGCCTCCCAATCCGGCCGAACCTGATAGAGCGTGTCTCCCCAAGCCACTTGGCCGCCAAGCCAAGCGTGTAGACACGGTCCGGCACCGGCACACATGCAGCAGCAGCAGCAGCAGCAGCGGCAGCAGCAGCGGCAGCAGCAGCAGCGGCAGCAGCAGCGGCAGCAGCAGCAGGAGAAGCAGATCCCTGGGAGGCGTGGGGTGGCAGGTCTAGGCGCAGCAGGTGCTGCAGCAGGCGCACAGCCATGTCCTGCTGCCCCTCCAACGCCAGCAGCTTCGCCTCCTCCACCCGCCCACAGAACGAAACCCCCTCCACCGCCCACGCTCCCTCCTCTGCCCACGCCCCCTCCTCTGCCGACGCTGTGGGACCGCTGCTTGTTGCTGATAAGGAAGGCACAGTGATGCGTGTGTGGCCCGTGAGTGTGAGGGCGCGGCAGGCGTCCTTGAGATGCTGCACATGCACTGCCGCCTGGCTCAGCAGGCGCGCCTGTGGTTGAGTTGCGGGGGAAGGATAGATGCTTGAGACAGAAGCATGGCAGTCAAGTCACCAGCTTGGGCAGCAGCATGGCAGTCAAGTCACCAGCTTGGGCAGCAGCATGGCAGTCAAGTCACCAGCATGGGCAGCAGCATGGCAGTCAAGTCACCAGCTTGGGCAGCAGCATGGCAGTCAAGTCACCAGCATGGGCAGCAGCATGGCATAACAGCAGTATGGCAGTCAAGTCAGAGTGGCACCCCACCTTGCAGCAGGGGCTGGCAGCCTCCAGCAGGTGCAGTGGCAGGGCAGCATGCTGCCCACTCGCCCGCAGGTACGCCCCCCAACGGGTCGTTACCCCACTTGCACCTCAGCATGGCAGCAACGGAAAGCCCACCTACAGCAGTCAACCCACCTTGCGGCACAGACTGGCGGCCTCCAGAAGGTGCAGCGGCAGGGCGGCATGCTGCCCGCTTGCCCACAGGTACGCCCCCCGACAGCTCACTTTGCGGCGCAGAGGCTGATAGTCACCCCACCTTACACCCCAACATAACACGGCAGCAACGGGGAGCCCACCTTGCGGCAGAGGCTGGCAGCCTCCAGCAGGTGCAGCGGCAGGGCAGCATGCTGCCCGCTAGCACGCAGGTACGCCCCTCGACAGCTCAGCAGTGGCTCCTGTAGCTCGAAGCTGCTCCCACAGGCTGCCAGCTGGCGCTGCCACGTGTGCAGCTGCCACAAGGGGGGGATTGGGGTGAGGGGGGGTGGAGATTAATGGGCAGTGCAAAGCAAATGAGCAAGTGGATTGGACGGTACGAGTGAATGCAGCGGTGATGGATACTGGAATCACTGAGAAGTGTCAGAAGGGATTCGTGTATGTGGAGTGGAGGGTATGAGTGGAGTGGTGACGGAGGGAGTGGGAGTGGTACAGAGTGATTTATTGCTGCCAGCTTTTGCTCACATCAGACTCATTCGCACCCACTTCACTAGCTTGTTATGTTTCAGCAGGGCCATACCTATTTCCACCTCTGCATTCCCCACCTCTGTGCAATCCACTCCACCCCTGTGGTCGCCACGCCCGTGCTTCCTACCTCTGTGTGCCGTGCCTGCCGTGTGTGAATGGGCCGGGCTGCACCATGGGCGAGGGTGAGAGCCGCTGCCTCTCTCACATTCTCCAAGGCCTGAGTGACATGCGGAACATGGGGAAGGGGGCAAGGAAGGAATAAAGGGACGGGGAAGGCCGGGGCGTGGGATAAACGGTGAATAAACAATAAGTGGATCTATTTACGCATGTGGCTGGGCAATGTCTTGCTTGTTTGCAAGATGGATGGGGTGTCATGGGAGGGTGAGGACTGAACGATATGGGTAAATTCTTGTGATAAAGTGGGAGGTGCAGAGGGGGGGAAACACATGGGGGGACATGAAGGAAATGTGGGGAGGCTGAATTCGAGAGGCGAGATGGTGAGAGTCAGGGAGGAGGGCGGAAAGAAGAGGGGAGAATGGAGAAACGGAAGCATGAGAAAGGAGGGAGGATGCAGAGGGGGGAGAGGAGAACAAGCGATGAGGGGATGGTGGAATGAATGGATGAGGGGATGAGGGGACGAGGGGACGAGGGGACGAGGGGGCGAGGGGACGAGGGGACGAGAGGGCGAGGGGGCGAGGGGACGAGGGGACGAGGGGGCGAGGGGACGAGGGTACCAGGGGACGAGGGGACGAGGGGACGAGGGGACGAGATGACGAGGGGACGAGGGGACGAGGGGACGAGAGGACGAGGGGACGAGGGAGCCTGGTGGAACCTGGAGGAGGACAAGACGCGAGTTGATGTGGAGTGCACTCTCTGCTGATGTGGACGCCAACTGGCACACAATAGTCTGCAAAAAGACGAGGTTGAGTGGAGGGAAACCAATGTGAGCGAGTGATTACTGTGTTTGGAAAGCATATGGCAATTATCGATTCTAGGCACCAGAGAATAAATATAACACGTTCGATGTTCGCCTCGCTACTGCTGCCAAGCCGCGTCGAACACAGACACGTTCGTGTTCGACACGAGGCTTCGACGAACACTAATGTGTTCGTCAACGAATTGTTCCGCGACTAGTTTTTTGATTACGCGACTTCGTGTTTGAGCTCAATTTTTGAGCTCAAACACTTCGCGACCTGACATTTCGCCGTCAGATCTGCACGAACCTGACATTTCGCCATCTGATATGCGCGGATCTGACATTTTGCCGTCAGATATGCGCAGATCTAGCATTTTGCCGTCAGATATGCGCGGATATGGCATTTCGACGTCAGATCAAATGGCAGGAGAGGGAGGGGCAAATGGATGACATTGAATTTGCCCCCCCCCCTCTTGCCATCTGATCTGACGTCGAAATGTCAGATCCGTGCATATCTGACGGCGGAATGTCAGATCCGCGCATATCTGACGACGAAATGTCAGATCCGCGCATGTTTGACAGCGAGAATGTCAGGTCCCGCATATTTAACGGTGAAAAGTTAGGTCGCGAAGTGTTTGAGCTCAAAAAATGAGTTCAAACACGAAGTCCCGCGACTTAAATTTTGGTCGCGGGACAATTCGTCTATGAACACATTAGTGTTTGTCGAAACCCCATGTCGAACACGAACTCGTTCGTGTTCGACGCGGCTCGGCAGCAGTAGCGAGGCGAACACCGAACGTGTTCGGCGAACACCGAACAAGTTCGCCACGAACAAATGAGGCGAACCAAACAGGTGTTCGTTTCCTTGCTCAAGCCTAGTCCATATAGCGCATGAGAGGGAGAAAATGGAGGGTTGGTTGGCAGCACCTGCTGAGCGGCAGCAGCAGCGGCGATGGAGGAGGGGCAGTCAGAGTTGTGGAGGGCCTTGAGAGCGCTGCCAAGGGGGGGGGGTGGGTGTGAGGTGAGGGGCGTGGGAGGGGCGAGAGGGTGGCGGAAGAAGGGTATGGATGGGTGGGAGAAGGGAGGTAGCGGGTGGAGAGGATGATAGGAAGTGATGGAGTGAAGGCCCTCTTGCAGTGGAAGTCCAGTGCTTGCAAGAAACAACATGTGAGAAACACATCTGTTGCATGCATCTGTTGCACACATCCGTTGCACAGACTTAGCCACAGTGAACCAAATGAGCATGCGTGCGACCACGGCCCCACCCTCCCACCCATGGCTAGACAGGCGGAGCCAGCACGTTGTAGCACCCAGTTTGCACACGAGGAGGGGAGGAGGTGCAGTGCACACCAGGCATGGCACCACTGCCCACAGGTGCAGTGCACACCAGGCATGGCACCACTGCCCACAGGTGCAGTGCACACCAGGCATGGCACCACTGCCCACAGGTGCAGTGCACAGCACACACCTGTAGAGAGCGGCATGGAAGCCAGCAGCAGCAGCACCAGGCATTTCAGACGTGGTGCCGCCTGGTGGGGCTGTGAGTGTGAGCGAGGTGGATGGCGGGGAGGGTGATGACTGGGGCGAGTCGGGGAGCTGAGCTGCTGGCAGGTCCCACTTGCCCATCTTCCACGCAGCTTCGTACTGCAGATGAGAGGGGTGAGGGGGTGGGGAACAAAGGGAGGCGCAGAAGTGTGCTTGTGAGCGTGTGGGTGTGTGGGTGAGTGGGAGTGTGGGCATGTGGTTGTGCAAATCAAAACGGCAATGAACGGACAGTCCAGGTTGTGATAAGATGGGAATTAGATTGGGTTGGGTCGGGTCGGGTCATTGGCTGGCTAGACAAGAAGACATTCTGAAGGCACAAGAAGAGAACTCAAGAATTCGGATGAAAGAGCGCCGGTGTTTACAGACATTGCTTATTGAGTATATTATACAAGGTGTGTGAGTGTGGAAGAGGGACAGGGGGGATGTGCAAGATGATGTGGGTATCAGATATTGAAAGACATCTCGTAGGTAAGAAAAGGGCATGTGGACAAGAAATTCGACCTGAAGCTCGAGAAAGTCGGCTCTTTCTGTGCCGAGTGCTCCACCCACCGCCACTCCTGCACCTGCTGTGCCCACAGTGGCACCAGCAACAGCACCAACACTACCAGCGGCAGCGCCAGTGGCAACAGCAGCAGCAGGCAATGAGACGGCGCCGCGGCAGTATGCTTGCAGCACGTGGGAGCATGCCATGTGCTGTAGTGCTGCCACCACTCCCTGCTGCGCCCACTGCCCCTGCCACTGTGACTGTGACTGTAACGAGGTCGCTGGGGCAGTAGAAGGTAAAACAGAAGCACTGCCACCGGCAGCAGCACCACCAGAAGCAGAAGCAGCAGCAGGAGCAGGGCGGTGGGACATGGCATGATCCAGCGTCTCTAGAACTTTCTCCCATCGCCCCTCGTGCCGGTCGATGGCCAGACGGGAGGGCAGCTGCATGCATGGGCACGCAGGGAGGAAGGGGGAAAAAGCGAGCCTGGTTTATCTAACTCCAAGAGCAGTGGTTTAATTTTTTATGCTCGAGTCACATCACAACATGGCACGATCATTCTCTGGTCAGAGATGTGCTGCAATTCTTGAGCTCACTGCACCGCGCAGAACCACCCCTCTTGCGTGCGCACCTTGATGGCGCGGGCGATGACATAGATGGCATAGGGCTCATTCACAGTGCAGTTGCAAGGTGATTTCTGAGTTGCCTCAAGAGGCTTTTTTTTAGGCGCCTCGAGCAAAATCCGCTCCGTGCGTGCACACCTTGTTGGTTCGGGCGACGGCATAGATGGCATCGGGCTCATTCACAGCACTGTAGCACGCCATCAGCAGCGCCTCATGGGGCTCCACCTGACAGAAGCACAGCCATGCAGTGTAGCAGAGGAAGGATATCCTTAGGTTGACTAAGAAATCAGGGGAAAGGTGCAGCAGAGGGAAGAGTGGGGAAGGTAATGTGTGAGAAGGGAGAGTCGGGGATTACGTCGTGCTGGGGCGGAGGGGGGGGGGGGGGGGGTCGGAAAGTTGACACGCGTGCTTGGTTGGTTGGCAGGATGGGAACTGGGCCCCCCAGTCTGGGGGAAGAGCATTGCAAGAAAAAACGCAACGAGTAAGTAGAACGACCGTCATACTTCCCAGCATGCACAACGAACCAAGGGGTTCCACTGATTGGCAGACAGCTGTCTGGTTACCGCGTCAGAGTCTTCATCGAAGCTGGGTTCGCCGAGAGTGGGCCGTCCAAAGCGCGCCTCACACCAGAGCTCCGCGTAGAGAATGGCCGTGAGTGTCGCACCACAGTGCTGCACAGCAGAAGCACATGCAGACACACACATATGCCGTGCACACACGCACATCAGACAGAGCTCAGATTAGCACACACACACGGGCCCACGAGGGGATGGGTCAATGTGCGTCTGCAACTTTTCTGCCAGTGGCCAATCGCTCCAAGTCTGGTACACTGGCAAACGTCTGATAGGTTACTGTGGTTACAGAAGCCTGAAAGGCAACACACAGTAACCTCCTTTCGTTTTTTGTTACTTCTGTGGGTTAGGTAAAGGTGCATGGGAGGTGTTACCTGTGCAGCCTGTGCGAGCGTGAGGAGGTCCAGCTGCAACCAGACCGGCTAAGGGGGAAAGGAAGGGGAGGGAAACGCACACATGCACACAAGAGGTGGAATGGGAAAAACGGTAAACACATATGGGGCTGCACGTGGAAGGAGGTTGGAATGGAATAGATTAGCGCACATGGGCGCGAGAGGCGGAAGTCACGCTGAGAAGAGGGGGCAGTTGTTGCCAAGGAAGCAGGAAAGCAGAGACGCTAGGTGGCAAGGTGGCAAGGAGTCAAGTAGGCACGGAAGCTCACAGACTGCCAGTGTTGAGGCGGCTCTGGCTCGTCCTCATCCAAATCCGCCCCCTTCCTCTCTGCCCCACGTTCCACTGCACCCGCCTCTTCTTCTGCTGCAGCGCCACCTATTTCCATCTCCACCCCCCCTGCAGCAGACTCAGCAGCACCCTTCTTGGTCCCCCGCCTGCCCCCTCGTTTGCCCTTGCTGCTGCTGCCTGCCACGCCTGCTGCTGTGCGGGTAGAGGCCTCTGTTGTGGTGCTCGGTGGTGCTGCTGATGGCGCCTGGATGGGTGAAAGAGGGGAGGAGACAAGGGTGGGAGGAGAGACGGGGGCAGATGGACGAGAAGGGAAGAGCAGAAGGTGATGTGCAGGGGTTAGGCAGATGATTACAAGGAACGTTCATAAGGAGGCTTGCATTGTAGTGGGGTGGGTGGGTGGACATGGCGGGTGGGAGAAATACATGAGAGGAGAAGCGAGGGAAAGAGGAGGAAGAGGCGGAGGTCATGGGAGTAAGTGAGCAGGTTTGCAGGGATGGGCAGTGAGCTTTGAGACGTCTCAAAAGAGGAGGAGAGGAGGTCTTGGGCAGGCTGGCTGGGATGGGCAGTGAGTGAGCACCTTGGCGGCACTCCTTCGAGCGCCCACGGCAGTGGAAGCACCACGGGTAGCAGCAGCGGCAGCAGTTGGGGGCGGGGCCATGAGAGCACGGGTGTGGCAGGCTCTGAGGGCAGTGAATGCGTCTAAGAGGAGTTGCAATGTGCGTGGAGACACCGCACGCGCTGGCTGCAGCACGTGGGTGGTGAGCTGCACGTGTGGGGGGTGGGGGGGAGGAGGAAGGAGATAGGGGCGGGCAGGGTTGCGCAGAAGAGGATGAGAGTAGGTGGAGAGAGGGGGATGGGAACATGCAGGTTGAGAGTACTGAGACAGGAAGCATCTAAAAGAAAACTGGGGAAACTGGTTTGAGAGAGTGAATCAAAGGGGGGAGGGTGACGGCCCACCTGGGCAGAGATAGTGCGGCAGAGGAGACTGGTGGGAGCATGCGAGGCAGCGAGGGTGGCGAGCGTGTGGGGGAGGAGCAGCGCCGCTAGTGAGGCGTTCACACGGCACAGTGGCTCACAAAGCCTGGGGGCCAGAGAAAAACCAGAGGGGCAAAAAAGGGGGAGAGGGGAGCAGGTTGATGGGTGGGCGAACAGAGAAAGGGAGTGAGGAAGGGAGGAGCCTTGTGCGTATCCAATGGTGGTTGGTGAGTGAATGGTTGGTGCAAACTGGGGAGGGATGAAGGCTGCCTAACGCGATTTGGGACGACTGGCAGTGTTTTTCATCGATGGTAGGCGTAGGCTGATGGGAGGGTTTCAAGATCTTGGTGAAGGAGGGGAGGGAGAGACGACAGACTGGCATTGGCAGTGTTCTCTCCCTCCCAACAAGCCATATTGTTGAGCTAGTGCCTGCAGCACCCGCATTCACGGACCTTTTCCCGTGAGCCCTCTCCCCTTTCACGAGAACATGGAGTACTGAGAGTGGAAGCATATAGACTCACATGAGAATGTCGTCTGGTGCATGCAGAATGAGCAGAGGCACCACCCGGCACACCCACTCCTCGTGAGATGCGCCCACTGCCAGCCACACCGAGGGGTCGTGCAGTGCAGACGTGCGGGCTGGAGGCCAGGAAGGGGACAGAGAGGGAAAGAGGTTTTAATGAGACAAGGACTACTAGCAATTTGTGAGTGAGTGAGTTGCAGAAACCGAGAAGTTACATATGATCATAGCAGAAAAACGCAGCTGACAGACGAGGGAAACGGTGAGCCGGGAGATTGAAGGGCAAGGCTCAGTGGCTAGCAGCACAAGGCAGTGAAGGCACACACCTGCTGCGTCGGTTCTTAGGTGCTGGATGATCTGCTGTGCTCGGGCGGTGTTCACCGTCTTTATGTGCGCCTGGAGAAGGCAGGAGCATGGGAGTGGGAAGCAGCAATCAATCTGATCTGAGGTGCAACATGGGAGGGATTTCTGCGCGTGGCACGATGCAGGCTTCCCTGTCAACATAACATCCGCAACTATAACTGCAGGGCAAGGGGACCAGAGAGCATGGAATGGCATGGCATGATGCAAGAAAAGGGGGCCAACCAATGCGTGCTTGACGAACTGGTACCTCTTCATGCCAACATATGTAACATTTCAGAGCCCATTGTTTTGGTTCGCTTTTTAGATGTCACAAAGCAGCAGAGCATTGCACAGCACCAGACGATTCAACGCACACACGGGATAAACGGCAAAGTGCAACACCTCAAGCGTTGCAGGAGCACCCCAAGCAACTCATTCACAGCACCATGCATACGCCGTGCGTATATAACTCTTTTTCCAACCGTGCCTCAACTCGCCCCACCTTGATCTATCGCAGGTCCGTCCATAACAGCCCACCTCAAGGTATCGCTTCTCCTCAAAGCCCGTGGCAGTGAACACCCGATGGCCCCTCTCTGTCATGAGCATGGCCTGCCATGAACGCAAGCAGCGCACACAGGGGCATGTGGTGGACAAGGGAACAAGCGGAACCGAGTGGTCTGTGACGCCCCCAGAACAGAACGGACAAGCGGTGGAGTTACAGCTGAGATCATGGTGCATGGCGAGCTGAATGAATGGCGATTCAACAGGCTTTTCAATGTGATGCAGTCGCAGCGCTGATGCAACAAGGAAGAGCGAAGAGTTATGATTCAAAAGTTCAAACAGGCAGAAGCAAGGCAGGAACAGAGCAGGCAAGGGACCGACCTCAATGGTTCGAGCAGCGGACTGAATGACATGCACGTCTGGGTCCACCAGGAGGCTGGCCAGCAGCTTGAGCACCGATACAATCACCCCCTCGTGAACGCCCTCGCCTGCTGGATCCGCATTCACTACTGTCACACCACCCGTGGGCTCTGATGCTGCTGTTGTGGGAGGCTTGAAGGAAACAGCAGAGGCATCCCATATGCCCAGCTGCCAGCACAACACGATCACACAACACAAGGATGGATGGCACCAAGGCACGTGGGGGAACGGAGAGTGAATGCAGGGATATTGGCATGTTGACGAGAACTAACACATGCAGAGAAGACAGGTACGAAGTTATGAACGAGCAAGGCTTTTCACTCACAGCAGCCAGAAGCCTCCCGAGGCACGCCCGGATCGTGCTCGTGCAGTGGTCCAACTCGCTGAGCTGGCGTGGCACCTGTAGCAGCTGCCACGTGGCAGAGAGGGCCTCAGCAGAGGGGCGCGGCACTCCATCCCCAGGCCCCCCTGCGCCCCCTGCGTGCAGCTCAGGGCTGCTGCTGCCTGGTGCTCCCTCCACGCCTCTGGCTGCAGGGGCAGTGTTGTCGCACCACAGGAGGTGCTTGGTGGCGGGGAGATGGCTGCAGAGAGATTCCAGACTGAGAGGGCAGGTGAGGAAGGGGGGTGGGAGAAGGGGGAAGGCATGAGAGGGGCGATAGTGGGCAGCGGGGAAGCAGAGAAAGGCATGAAAGATTATTGGTCGGTTGCTACTGCTGTGCTGGGGGAAAAAAATACAATGCACTGATGGGAGATGCAGCGCATACAGCATGTGTGTTGAAGATGGTGCGACAGAAAAACTAATCCGGAAACAGGGATGTCATGCAACAATACAAGCTCAGCGGTGGCAGGCAGGCATCACCAAGTGCGCTAGACTAGAGCACTCGTTGAACAGCCAGAACTCTACACTCAACTGGCATCAACCAGCTGCTTCCTTGACTACATCTGCACACCTCTGTGCGAGAACCGCTGGTGAGAGGCTGGCGGCCCGAGAGGCAAGCTGCACGGTGGTGGAGGGGTAGGGGGAGGGGGAGGGGGAGGGGGAGGGAGGGAGGGAGGGAGGGAGGGAGGGGGAGGGGGAGGGAGGGAGGGGGAGGGAGGGCGGGACAGAAAGAGCGCCGGGAAGGTTGAGAGAGGTTTGGTGGGCAATGGGCACTGGGCAGCATAGGCAGAAGAGTTGGCAGTCAGTGAGGAAGGAAAAAGGCCTGCGGACGGACGAATGCACAAGCAGAAGCAGAATTCGCAAACACAAGTAGGTCCTACGAGAGCAATATCGTGCCGTGGTGTGTCTACGGTCGTTCAGACCAGCCACCGCTGAAGTGAGGCTGGGAGCATGGGAGGATGGATGGATGCAGACAGAACAATCCTTGTGCCTGTGCCATGTTTGAGCGGGAAAGCGGCACACCTGTGTTAGCTGTTGTGGCAGGGGCAAGTCATGCGAGAGCGAGGAGAGAGAATCGGCGATGGGAGCCAGAGAGGGGTGTGCGGCCACTGCTGCTGCTGGTATGTGCAGCAGCTGCAGAGCAGACAGGAGCGGTTGGGGAAGAATGGAGGGACAAGAGGGGAGAGAGA